TGAAGATCCTCAGATTTAGCTTTCCAGAAGCTGTTCCTAAACCACCTCAACTTCGATGCGGATTCCACGGTTTTTAGAAGACCGCATAGATTAGATGCATGGTTTGGCATTTCTGATCTTATTTCAACTGCTTTGTTATCTGCACCAACATCGTCAGCAACGACAATCTTCCAAGCACCAACATCCAGCAAACTTGATGCTCTCCTCAAGCTATGCAACTGCTCCACATCAGCACATCCTTCATTGCCTTTCCTTCCGAGAGGTTCTTTCGTTGCCGCTTCCACTACATGCCTACCGTCACTGCTACCGATGATTTTATCCTTTAAGCCCCTCACTGATTCGGGCCTAATTATTGCTTGAGACGAGCAATTGTCGCAATCAGAACCTTTAACATCATCCCTTGTCTCTTGCATGTTCTGTGGCACCTCAGAAAGAAAAAGGGCAAGATCATCCTGCTCTTCCGCATCTAATTGCACCCAACGCAGTGGTTGTTTCCCTTCCTCTCTTAGAGCCTTCTCTACACGAGAAATTTGTTCTGCTATCGCAGCTACGAATTGCTTGTGCCTGGTTATGGCATTCTTCTCTGATGGATAACTTCGATGCCTCAGCCTCACAGCTTTCTCAAACTCCTCCAACTGCAGATGCAACTTCAAGCATTAATGAGGCCGAATTATCGGTTTTTCTCTTAATTTGTGATCGAATGTACCAGAAATTGAAGAGTGAGTGACAATAGCAACATAGTGGAGTGAAAAGCCCACCTGCCACTTCGCAGTGCCAAGAGCGGTATGAAGCTCCCCGTGCAATTCATCTGGAGCTTCCGAATCTTTAAGATCTCGCATCCACATTCTGAACAGGGATTCCATTCTGCGACGAACAATTACCATGACCAAAAGAACGCATGAACTCTCAGAAACAAACGATCAAACACAGAATCTCTTTTACGAATAGATATCTGTAATTATACCGCAATACACAATGAAAATCAACCCAAGTCGAATCAACATGACGAGGAAAACAAATTTTCCTTTTTGCAACGGAAGCACAATCAAAATTCGATTTTTTTTTAGGAATTCAAACAACGAAATTGGGGAAATAGGGAGAGAGATAGAACGGCATACACATCCGCTGATTCCTGCACTTCCTCCGCCGCGGAAAAGAACACGTCTTTCTGCCACTGATCGAAGCTACTCGCTACTGCCATCGAAGGAACCCGAGATCCTCGGCCGCCCGTCGGCCCGGGAGCCAGTCAGGGTAATCCCGATTTCACCTCCAAGTACGCGATACTTTCCTTCCGGAACCCAAAGACAGGCGCCAAAAGGAAACGCTCTCTTTTCCTTCAGTGAATAGCAAACGAGGTTGCCCAAGAAGGCAAAAGATAGCAATGAAAACCCCCTGGAATTCCTCCACGCTTCCTCCCCAGCAACGCGATCGAACCCAGAACTGGAAGCAAGGGAGATGGAGTGAGACAGAGAGACGCAACAAGGAACCCCTCCCTCTGTTGGTCTCAAATCCCTGTCGTGGGTTCGTCGCCAAGAGGAGGCGTCGGCGGTAATGTGGCAGGTGAGACGCCCACCTCCACCTCGCATCACAGGCTGTTTGCGAATCTTGTCGCAGTGGGCGACGCACCGGACCACCTCACCGTGCAACTCATTTTGTCCCCAAGAGTGCATCTGTGGGCCCCGCCTGGCTCCGTGTCGTCCACCAATCCACAGTAAGCGGGTACAAGTGCGGGTAGAGAAGATACGAGGCGGGAGAGGTGTTGCTCGGGGCAACTGTACCTTGTATTTTTCTGCGCGCAACAAATCATCGGAAGGCCGGGGGAGAGCCTGAGCCGCTTTGAGATCCGTGCGATCGAGAATCTGACGGTGTGAGTCTGCTCCGGCTCATCTGTCGTTTTCGTCGCAACCACCAGCGGTGATCTCGTTGGGATGGGGAACGGCCAGCTGCCGCGCCTGGTCGAGTTGGTCCCACCCGAACCACCTCGCTGACCCAACCCAATTTGGCCTCGTGTCTTTTTTATTGGTTCTGGAAAATGCATCCTAATTTTATGTGGTGGCGTGTCGCGCCCTCTTTACGTGAGCGGAACATTCTGGAGCCAACGCAATCGTGGCTGTGGTCGCCGACAAATCGAAGAGATGAGGATTATAAAAAATTCACTAAATTGATAATTAAATTTTATTTTGTTTCTAAGGGCTTTTTAGAATAAAATAAGGGTTTAGCATTATCATTAGAGTCTAAATTTTAAAATTCTAAAAAATATCTTTATTATCGGTTTGATATTTTATATTAATTCTATTAAGCTAGTTCAAATTCAATCGATCCATTCAATTCGATTTGAGTCGAGTCATATTCATGTTGAGTCAGGTTTGAATTAAAAAAGTAAGAGAATATGAAAATTTTGAGGATTATATCGAACGAGTGTAATTCTATTATAGATCAGGTAATCACTAAGGTCTAGTACAAAAAGATGATAATTATGATTTCTTTCATTGAGTGATAACATTCTTATTCTTATCACAACAATTATGACGGTGATCAATGGAAAAAAATATTGACAATGATAAGTCACGTTTGAAAGTATAATTTGGGAGAAATATAAAGGTTAATGTAAGTTTAAATCAAACAAATTAAATAACTATTTTTTAAACCCATTTGATTTAATTCATATCAAACAAAACCAGTTCAAATAAAAAAAAATTAGAGTCAAACAGGATCAACAAATATTATTTATTATTTATTAATTTTATAAAAGGATATTTTGGTCCAATCGTTAATAAAAAAAAAGGAGGTGTTTCATCGAATATTACGTATAGTAAATTGCTGTGGTTCCAACAAGCGGTGGTGGCATTTGTTCCAACCTCTCCACCGTATTCAGCCGCCTCCATCCACTATGCCACCGAAAGATACATGTTAACAGTTGGGTGGTGCAGTTCGCCGGAGGTCAGCAACGATGACATAGAACAACACGGGTGGCTGTCGAAAGTGCATCTATCAAGCAATGATCCATGACGTGATGAAAGCCGTCCAAGATTAGCTTGAGTTTGCCCCAAGCCCAATACTGTAAGCCGACGAACGGGAAAGAAAGACTATACGAGGCCTTCCATAGCTTCCGCTAAGGAATGAATGGGTATATAATCTGCAATTTCAATTTCGAGGGACTTAATCAGAGATTTCAAGGAAAGATAAATGGACTTCAAAGCACAACAATTTACTTTTCCGTCGTGGAGGAACAACACTCGACCGAAGCAATCGGCATGTGATGAGTTCTTCATGTCTATCTGTCGACGACCCTTCGCCATACGCATGACTTTTTCTTTCCAAGGGAACAGCTGAACCATTTTGTCACGTAACTCAACTCACAGCATCTCGCATGAATATGATCGATCTCTCATCATTTACGCTACAAGTCAATGTGTCAGAGGTCAATGGTTCCCAAGTATTTCTTCTACACCATAAGGGTCGATTTCGATCTGGAAGGGTTGATTTAGTCGTGGGAGTGAGCCAATGATGTGCATGCTATTCAAATCATTCTTAATGCATTGTTTTTTCCTCAGATCCATTATTTACCGAAGGCTTGATAATTAATTTTATTGCACGATGGAGTTTACCAGTCGTTAAATATTAAATACTAAATTAATTATATGAGATCGACGGCATTTTAGAACTACTCGGCTCCGATAATGACAACTCAATTTAAGGGGGGGGGGGGGGGCTCTAACCATGTTAAAATCATGATTTAGTATTTAATTTATTTATTTTTAATTAATAATAATATTAGAATATTATTTGAAGTGCCTTTTTTCTATTATTCTCTTGTAAATCATCTTTATATAACTAATTTGTTAATGCTCATCATCAGATTTTTCAAGCAATAGTAATCGGTCGGTTTGGTGGTTGGAAATGCAACCCATTGCTGTGGGGATAAATTGGACCAAAAGTTGCTTTTTATTCAAGCAATTATTATGGGAACATAAAGAAATGACAAAGTCAAACCAACAGCTAATTTCTATCAAAAGGCCGAACGATCACAAGAGGCCACGAGAAACGACAGAAGTTGGACCCTTTTTTTCTTTTTCCTTTTCTCTCTCTCTCTCTCTCTCTCTCTCTCTCTCTCTCTCTCTCTCTCTCTCTCTGACACACTTGTAGTTGATAAGGATGGATTAGAAATATACACAGCCCAGTGTGCTTCTGATGCTTCAGCCATTTCCCGGAAAAGATTGAACACGGAACAAGAAGTCTCGTCTCCGAAGACTACTTCTAACCAAACCTTTCGTATTAACGCCCTTCTCTCGGCTTCACGAGAGTGACGCTATGTTAATAATAATCATACGCGGTATTGGGTCTAGAGAGCGACTACCTCCGCCTGTTGATCGGAACACCTGGTTTTGCGTCGTTTACTTTTGCTACAGGTAATTACCAAGTCCATCTTTGGTCCACATCAAATACGGACCATGTCATTCTCAGGCTCACATTTTTCTATTTAGTTAGGCCAATTCTTCGGAATATGACCTTTCTTCTCACCGCTAAACCGTGTGGAATATTCTATTAAGTTAGGACGTGAACGTTGCTTCCACCCGCAATCATGTGAATAACTTTTTCTTTTTTGTTTATTTAAGAAAAATCATCGATGGAGACGGCCAATGATAGCACACTGTGAGGACGAGTCGACGAAACCACCCTACACTATCCGACCCCTCCGATCTCTGCTCGACGGCGCTGATTCGATCCTCGGCATCTACATGGTAGGTAAGACCCGCAGGTTCGGATCCCACGTCACCTTCTCCTTCGCGTGTCCTTGCCGCTCGCGATCCCCAGCCAACGGTTCGGATCGCTCCGGCCCACCGAAAACAAAGCGCCACGTCGCCATGGCCCGATGACGCGGCTCCCTCGGGAGGTCACACCAGTTTTGCCGGTTCACCAAGTCAAGTTATTAGGTAAGACCCGGTCGAGAAGCGGTCCTGCCCTAGCCGCACCGCGGAATGCGCGGACGTGTCGTCATCAGACTGGCTGGAGCTATGCCGTGCGAGTCAACCGTTTGCTCCCCCAACTCTGCACCCATCTCAGAACCATTTCCTTACCCATCTCACCTCCGCAGCTCATTCTTAATCCCGACCACGTCCTCACCAACTCCCAACTCCCTTCCACTCCACCGGTATATTATTGCCTCCTTCGCCGCCCCTTTTCCTTTTCCTCGGGACAGAGAAGAGAAACCAGAAAAGGGAGCAAAAGAACTTCAATTAGAGTTCTTCTCTCGTCTCTTCTCTGTGCTTTGCTCTTTCTTCTCTTTTCTTGCATTGTGTTGTCTTCTCATCTATCTCCGCTCCGTCGCCGTCGGGATGGGTTCGATTGCGCCACCGGAGGATATCATTTTCCGTTCCAAGCTTCCCGACATCGAGATCATCAACGACATCCCCCTACATACCTACTGCTTCGAGCGGATTGCCCAGTTCGCCCACCGCCCCTGCGTCATCGACGGCGCCACCGGCGCCGTGCTAACCTACGCCGAGGTCGACGCCGCCGCCCGCCGGTTCGCCGCGGGACTCCACGGCGTCGGCATTAGGCGGGGGGACGTGTTCATGATCCTCCTCCGCAACTCCCCTGAGTTCGTCATCGCCTTCCTCGCAGCCTCCTACGGGGGGGCCGTCGCCACCACCGCCAACCCCTTTTACACCCCCGGCGAGATCCACAAGCAGGCGGTCGGCTCCGGCGCCCGCCTGATCATCACCGAGTCGTGCTACGTGGACAAGATCCGGGAGTTTGCCCGGGAGCGCGGCGTCACCATCGTCACCGTGGGAGACGGCCCCGCGCCGGAGGGCTGCCGCTCCTTCGCCGACCTCATGAGGACGGACGCAGGCGCGCTGCCGGCTGTCGAGTTTGACCCGAACGACGTGGTGGCGCTGCCGTACTCGTCGGGCACCACCGGGCTGCCCAAGGGCGTGATGCTGACGCACCGGAGCCTGATCACGAGCGTGGCCCAGCAGGTGGACGGCGACAATCCCAACCTCTACTTGCACGAGGACGACGTGCTGCTGTGCGTGCTGCCGCTTTTCCACATCTATTCCCTCAACTCGGTACTCCTGTGCGGGCTGCGGGTCGGGGCCACGATCCTGATCATGCGGCGGTTCGATGTCGGACCGTTGCTGGAGCTGGTGCAGAGGTACCAGGTGACGATCGCGCCTTTCGTGCCGCCCATCGTGCTGGAGTTCGTGAAGAGCCCGCTGGTCGACGGCTACGACCTGTCGTCGATACGGATGGTCATGTCCGGGGCGGCGCCCATGGGGAAGGAACTCGAGGACAAGTTCATGGCCAAGCTTCCCAATGCCCAGCTGGGCCAGGTGCGTCTCGAGACCACACATAGCATCGGTTTCTTTTGTTTCTTTTCGACCGAGTGCCTTTGTTGCTCTCTCGTTCTACTCCTGCCACCGGTGTGCTGCTTGGCTGTTGTATCGAAAAGTCTAACGGCCAAAGTCATTCGGATGCCTTCCCCATGAATGAAGTCTCCTCCACCCTTCGCTTTTATCACCAAACTTGTTCCTAATTTCCTGTCTCGCTAGAAGACACTCGATAGGGAGGAGTCACGTCAACATCTGTTATCATGTGTTGCTATTTGCCATCTAGTCACCGTGCCTATAATGACAACCATGACATCTGAAATGATGCTACATCACTGCATAGTTTAAGCATAATCCATGTTTTCGTTGCCATCGATGCAGCGTATCGCTGTTCGTCGGTCTGCCTTTTGGATCGAGCCATATTCCTCTCATCTTATTTTCCATCCGCAAACCCCGCCCGCCTCGACGCCGGAATCAAACGGTCCAATGGATCGGATAGTAGTAGTACGAGTCAGTTGCATTTTCATATGTTTGCCGTGTGCAAGTCGTTCCTGGCATTCCCAAAATTAATTTCCCCACTCGTTTACCAATATATAGTGTCGCTAGAAGGACAAGAAAATTACGGTTTGGTCCCCCCAGGTCAGATATCTCGCTTCTCCAATTTCATGAAACTTGTTTCTTCTTCTTCTCCTTTGTTTCTTCTCGAATTACCATTAGTTTTTCGTGTTCGACTTTTTAATCCAAGCTTCCATAGGCAGCAGGTGGGTGGTGATGAGGAACTAACACGTTGGACCTGCTCCGTCCCTTGCAGGGGTACGGGATGACGGAGGCCGGGCCGGTGCTATCGATGTGCCTAGCATTCGCCAAGGAGCCGTTCGAGGTGAAGTCCGGCGCGTGCGGTTCCGTAGTCAGGAACGCCGAGATGAAGATCGTCGACCCCGAGACCGGCGCATCGTTGGGCCCGAACCAGCGCGGCGAGATCTGCATCAGAGGAGCCCAAATCATGAAAGGTGAGTTGACAGCTTCCTCGCTACCACCTTTTACGTGCAATCGTGTGATGATTGGTTTGAATCGGCCGCACAACTCGCACATTCATTACGGCACACATCAAATAGGTATCATTACACAAGTTGCTAATGGGGAAAGGTGGGATGGAACCCTATGAACTAGGTAGATGGTCCACACCCAGAGCAAACCTCAGAAAGTTAGAAATCGATTGCAGGTTGATGTCCAGGGAGGGAGTAAGAGATACGACTCTTAGGATTGCACATTAAGGTAAACGATGAATAATCCCAAGAAATGGTAGACTGGACTTGGTACTTCGGTTGGCACCTGGTTGTTCCACCAAAATTATTATCACAAGAAATGTGTTTCTTAGAAGGCCGACCAGAATTAGGATCCTTTTTAGCTTCTTGGATGGGTACGACGTTGACTCCGCCTGTTCCTGTTCCTGTTCATACACATAGAAGGTGATTCCCCACATAGGTGTGGCAATTAGAGGGTCCCAACTCGATGCACAGTCGCCCAACTCAACCAAACCAACATGTTGTCCCGGAGTCAGTCATCCTCCACTCACCCCGCACCAATAGAAGGTGAGGGGATGAGCTAGTCAATTAATTAATTGTTTATGGCCACACCCAACTAAAAGAAAAAAAAAGGGTCCATCTGACCAAATCATTCTGCAGATCTGAACAAGCAATGTGGGATGGAACTCAATGAACAAAAAGTCAAAAACTGAAGGATCGAGAGTAAATATTTTGTTCTGGTATGGGGTTTTGCTGCATCGAAGCTGTTCATGACCGACAGTCTTTTTCTGGTCCACCATTGCTGTCAAATCCGGGCTCAACAGTCTGATCAATGGATCCATCAATTTTCGTGGACAGCTATAATCGAGTAGGAGGAGTTGGCCACATGGATTTACAATTTAGCCCTTCATGTGACGCTGGACAGCTTCTTAGGCTAGTGGCTCGCTAGCAAGGTTAAATAATCGAAAGCTTTGTCTACTTGGGCTTGTTAAATTTGCTAGATTAGAAAATAGCATTATGTGAATCACAAGCGAGATGGATCCAATTATGAGGCACAGTCCTTTGATGGCTCCTATTTGGCAAAGTGGCCATTAATATATATACACTACCTGAGGCAGTTCCCCATGTTCCCAATTATGTATTATATGTGTGATTGCTGCACTGTCAGTCAAAATTAGTATCAATATTAGAATGTTTGTGATCTTTATGACAAAAGGTTTTTTTTTTCTTTTTTTTTGTCATTGAGAAATTGATGAGCCTATCTAGTTTGCTTATTGAGCTTACCACTAATTGTTGTTATTCCTGGAATAAAAATATCATGTGCAATATTGTTTATAGGACTTTGGTATAGCAAGCTTACCCTTCTTTTTAGGACTATCATCTATGGACCTTAAGAGTTTTCAATAAAATCCGAATGAATCTTGCATTATTGTGATATTTCTGTAGGATTTTCTAGTCTCCTACCTATTATTTCACTCAAGATAAAATTCACGAGATATATATACCATGAGATTCGTGCTGGTTGGGTAATCACCATGTAAGAAACTAGAGTAAGTACACCGACGGCATGGTTCCCGGGAACATATAGGTGTTGTTTGTGACATGACGTTCGAACTGCAATTGCACACATCTCTGGTGTGCTAAGCTTTGATATGGACAAATAACTCTTTGGTTCATGACTATATTCTATGATATGGACAAATAATTTCTTCTCCTTTCTTTCGCAGACAGTTTTCCTTTGGTAGAACGTCGTAATCAATCAGTCATTAGAAGCTCCTGTTTGGCTTCTTCTTTCATGCTCTTGGAAGAGAGCTCCTTCAATTAGGGCACTTGGAACCTTTGTGTTTTTACTGGAGACGATGTTTAATTTTCTCCATCATTAATACTACGGAGAGTGATGCTTCACCTGTGGGTCACTCATCGGGACTGCGTTTTAATCATGCAGGATACATCAATGATCCAGAGGCGACAAAGAACACCATCGACAAGGACGGTTGGCTACACACCGGAGACATCGGTTATGTGGACGACGACGACGAGGTCTTCATCGTCGACAGGCTCAAGGAGATTATCAAGTACAAAGGCTTCCAGGTGGCCCCGGCTGAGCTTGAAGCTCTGCTTATTGCCCACCCTAACATCGCTGATGCTGCTGTTGTCCCGTAAGTATTATTGCAACTCAAACATCACTATAATGGAATTTACCTTAAATAATTATCTTCCACTACAATGTATGACCAAAAAAATGATACACTAATTTTTTGCAGGATGAAAGATGAAGCAGCTGGGGAAGTTCCCGTTGCGTTTGTTGTGAGGTCGAATGGCTCCAAGATTTCCGAGGATGAGATCAAGCAATACATCTCAAAAGAGGTGAATTTTCGAGAATCAATGACTTCTATACCAAGCATTAGTCAATCTTCTGTTTGTCAGATTGCATTAGTTATTATATACACGAGAACAGGTAATCCAGAAATCCACAAGAGTTCTAGACTAGTTGACACGTTTGTTCTTTCATTTAATCTACGCAGTGAACTTACAATTAGTCGAAGAACTAATGTGCTAGCATGAGAGATTAGAAAAGGCTAATACCAATATAACTTTGCTTGAGACGGCTTACATTTTGTGTTTCTGAATTTTTAATCTTTTTTAGGTGGTGTTCTACAAGAGGATTAATAAGGTATTCTTCACGGAAGCTATTCCCAAGTCACCATCCGGCAAAATCTTGAGAAAGGATCTAAGAGCAAAATTAGCCGCTCGATTTCCTATCGGCCCATTTCCGTGATCGTCATCAGACCGTCCGTTATACTCTCCTTGTAACTCTCGTACGAGAGAAGACGGCTGGAAATTCTTTCAGGACGTGGCTTATTAGGGTGGTCATTTGGTTTTATATCATCCCAATACAAATTATATGTTTATTTGTTTTAAATTCGTGAGATTGAGTTTGTGATGTTATTGTAAGATTAGACGTGTTTGTCGAGAGGTCACAGACGCACTTCTCAATGTATGTGCAAAGCAATACTAATTTGTCGTATTTCCCACATCTCATTTGTAGCACGATTTAACACTTATTAGTTCCCACTTTCAGAGTTTCTGCATGACAAGTCATAGCATAGAATCCCTCTGCTCAATACAATAATCTGTATTTAACGTGCGTAAACTTATGGCCGAGTTAACCTGAGCAAATAATGCGTTACACCGAGCTAGGCGGTTTAATCTGGTGCGGGCAAGTCGGTCGAATTCAAAGAAGCGCCGAAAGTTCGCTCTGGCTCGGTACCCACCCCCTCTCATACATAGGACCGGCCGCTGCTCTCCTCTTGCTCCCCGCCTTCTCCTTCGCTTCCACGATCATCAGGTGATCTTTTCGGTTCCCTCTCGTGCTCTTTATTCCTCGTGACACCTCCAATTTGCCTATGCTTGAAATAGTTCTACGATTCTCGACGAACTTCACCGATGATCCATCTCAAGAACAGCACAGTCTTTCTCGTTGAACTGACATTTGCTTCTAAACGGTGTATATCGGGCGTGATCCATGCCCTTTCCTCTTTTCTTGAGTTTAGGGTTTCGATTTCGACGTCTTTTTTTCTTGCTTTCGTTTCTTGTTTCTGTTCATCGTTAGGTGATATCTTGGGTTCACTTTTGTGTTATTTGTTCCTGGCACGTCCTCCAATTTGCCGATGCTTGAGAGAAATTTGTGGATCATCGATGAAGTTGAGCGATACGACCGTCTCGACCAGTCTCAAGAACGGTATAACCTTTCACTTTAAGCGTCCAGTTGCTGTGATTCTGTGCGAATCTTGTGTGTTTCTTGATGTTTTTGCTCTTCTTGGATTTATGGTTTCAATTTTCGACGTTCTTTCTTTTTTTTTCCTGCCATCTCTTGTTTATCTCCAGCTTTCTCAGCTTGTGTTGTTAGGGCAACCGCTTTACTGGCTTTGATTCATTTCTCTACATGATATTCCTTTTATTTCATTTGATTTTCTTTTCCACCTAGGATATAATTGATGCTATGATCAGTATAATGTCTAGGGAGATCAACAAACAGATTATCTTACTACTGAGTGTCTTTTCTTGTATATCGAGGGTTGGAATAGATGACAACAGAAAACTTATACCCTTCCTCCTTTCCTCGTGTAATTCCTTGTTATGGATTTTCTGTTGTAGAAATAGCTGTATTTATTGACCAATTTCTATTTTCTCTAAGATTTGGGATATGATTCGTAGCCAAATGTCCCATGTCAATGCATTTTTAGATTTCCGTATGGTTTTTTAATGTTATCTTCTCCTTCGATTCATTGAGCCTTTCTAAAAGTTAAATGAATCATTTAATTTTTCTACTCTGAAACCACTACTTATTTACCTATAAATGAACATCACATCATTGTCTTTGATGGGCTTCGTTTTTGTTGCCGCCAGACGGGGGAAGAAATAAAGGTATGATCCTAAAATTGTCTCTAATTTGGATGCTAACTTTTATGCTGTCAATGTTGATTTAATAGCTCCAGTCAATTTGCAAAATTGGCAAAACTGATCCAAGCAACATTTTTCTTGGTTTTGATTATTTAATAATTATTCACAAGTATGAAAGACAAATTAAGTAAAGGTTGGTGTGATCGAGTCTTGTAAATCAATTGATACTACTTTAGAGTGGTCAAGATTTCGGTGGCAATAAGTGTCAAACTTTTAAGTTGCATTAGAGATTGGTAAAATGAGCCAAGCAGAACACTGATGCTGTTGCATCAGGATTCAGATAGTCATTTGGAATTAGTTGTTAGTGACACAGAATCTAGTAAAAATATAATGCCAAGACCACAAAAGATTTTAATCTGTCTGTAGGATTTGGTGTTGCTTTTGCATTCTTTGACATCTATTCTGTGCCGAATGTTCATCGATTCAATAGAGGTTACTGATTTTCCCTTCTGGATTTTATATCCATGAAATGTGCTCATTCTACACAATTTTTGTGGCAGGAATGAATGACAAGGAGATGATCTAGATTGAATAAATTTATTGGCATGGGATAATGAGAAAGTGAAATATTTCCTTTTCGTTATTAATAGTTTGAAGTTTAATACTTGCGTAGAATTATTCAAGCTTGCTTATGGATGTTAGGGGATGACATCTTTGATAAAAATTTAGAGGAAGTTGATGATTCTTTAAGAAGCAAAAGAGACAGCCAGCAATCATTGGGCTCTAGGGTATTGTTGTGGTCTTCATGCTGGATTATTAGAAACTGATGGAGAAATATGATTTCACCCAAAGATCCCTAGATAGTTGACTGTCAAGAAACTTGAGTTGTCTAATAGCATTTCTGAAATAAGTTTGTCTTGTGCCAAGATATCTAAACTTTTTCCTACATGATTCTGATATGAAGGATAGCCTTGTTGAGTCTGGAGCATGTAGAAACAAGGCCATTGGCTCTGGAATTTACCGTATTGATTTTTGATGAATGTTGCCCTCCCTTCAGACCCCTTTAAATATCGGACCTAATCATAGCGCATGGGCTTATTTGTCTCGGGGGCTTCTCCAGCATGGTTCAGCCCCTCATCATATTACCTTGCAAATATATACCGTAATATGTGTACGTTTGCAAATAGGCGATATCAAGATTCTAAGTCCTTGGTGTGTGTTACTTGGCAAACCATTTTGAGGTCTCATAGAAATTTGTTAGGTGTAGCCTCCTTTTTCTTTAAGAAGTGATGACTTAGCAAAGGATTTGGTTCTTTATTTGTCTAAATTACTATACATAATATTGCTGATCGACAGTAAACTAATCTTGAATGTTTTCTAGACTCAAAAGCTTCTGACTTTACTATAGGTTGCATTCTAAGTTAAATGTTTTGGTGGGTTGTGTGGTTGAATTCTAACAAATTCTTTGGATGTTGATGCTGTTTCAGAGTCAAGATATTCATCTTTGAGATAAAAGATGGTTTATGTTTTCTAGGATTGAGTTCAGATGCTTCTTGAATTATTTACATGTGTAGTTGTATCAGTTTATTATTTCTTATTCTTAGTTGGCCCTTTTTTGGCTTATGAAATTCTCCCATAATAGTCTTTCTGTATGGTAATGCCCTGGTTTGTACGTATAACATTCTGTTGTGTATTTTAACTCGACTAGTAACATACCATGGTTTGAAATTTTATAGTTTTAGTTCACTGATGAGTTTGTGCACTCAATTCTATATGAACGAAGATGAGACCATTGTAGTTACACTTGGGATATGTTTTTAGATTCTGGACAATCTTTAATAGTTTCCGTTTCTCCTGCAATAGCTATCTGCTACTTTCCAAAGCTGTGGATTGACGCCATACACGAAAAATGATTTTCTTGAGGGTGGTTGCCTTGTCTGTTACTTTTTCTATCTCGAGTTGCTATTAATATTTATGTCATGTACACTTAACACTTTGCTGCTGGTTCCTTTTCGTTTGCCCTCCTTCGATTTGTGGATTGATTTTAGAATGTGAATTGTGATTGAATTGACATGACACTTGTGAATCCATACTCTGATTTTTTATTTGTTTCAATTAAATTGAACCCATTATTTGTTTCAATAATAATAATATTGATTAATTAAATTAGATTAATCAGTTCTGAACCGATTCAATTAGATAGGCACAAAAGTTTCAATTCGAAATACGTTGCTTTAATTGAATCGAATTGGTTTTTCGAATCTCTTGTAACACCCTTATATTTCTTATTTTTTGGTTTTCTGATTTTTCCTCTTGCATCAAGATTGTCTTCATTCTTGTGCAGTCCAGGATCTCTCGACTCTGTGCCGAACTCAAATGCGCTGATCCCAATCAGCGTTAGCATTCCAAATATTATGGTGCATAGCGTTGCAAAGTTTGGTCAATCATCTTCTTGTGAGCTGAACAGGTATTGTTTGGACAGGAGTCTTCATTTGCTCAACCATCTCGTTGTCGATATGAGCGTCAAAATTTTCAAGTTCTTTTAATCATAGTTTGTGTATTATCCATATATGCCTGTTGAATTCAGGAATATTATTGTATTTTTAGTATTGTTGTATAATTGAAGGTTATTACATGTTTTTGACCATACAGTATCTTAAATTTAAATCTAAAAGATCTTATTTGTTATGTATTTTTTTTTAAACATAATGTGCTTTAAAAATATTTTATTGTTTAATTTGTGTATTTTAAAAATGTGAAAAAGAATAATAATATTTTAAAGGAGTTAAATGTTGTTTACCGAACGGAACTTTTAGTTCGTTAAATAACATGTCACTAAGATATTTGATTGTTGGAGATGAATGATTGTTAAATTTGTTTTCTGTTTTAAGATTTTGTTTTTTATATATTTTTAATAGTAGTATTTATTTATCCCACCTAGTCTTAAATTCAACACTATGTTCATCATGTTTATGAAAATCAATTTTGATAAAGTTCAGGATGGTTAAATAGAATGTCTTTTACACTGAAACTTTTGTTTAATTTTGAAGTGAAACTTTTAATGGGGATCGAAATCCATTTTAAATTTGTATTTAATTTATAAAATTATTTGAATTTAAAAAAAAGTTGAAAAAGAAATCAGGTCTTTTTACTGATTTGCATAACGTGGGAAATATGGTTACATAATAATATTAATATGAAATATGCTTACCTTTTGTTAAAAAAGTAAAATATTTTGAATCATATTTTCGCCACTTACCTTTTGTTTGAAAAATAAAAAAAGTGGACATTTTTTTAGTTTCCGTTCTTTTAACGGAAAAAAAAACTATCGGCGCAGAAAACTGAAAGAACTTTGCCAACGAATGTAAAAAAAAACCAAAAACAAAGAAGAAAATATTAAATAAAAACTGAAATCACTAATTGCAATTCATAACTTTCCCAGAGAGACTCACTAAGAAACAATCATATGATCACGCGTCCACACGAACTCAAAATGATGAGAACAGTAAAAAATGCCAAACACAATCAATTTGCACACACTATCATGCCAGGAAGCGAGGGAAAAGAGCATCACGACAGAGAACTAGAAAAGGAGAAAGAAATAAGATCACAAATTTCATGTGATCTCTAAAGAACTATAGAAGCTGTCTCATAGAACCATGAAATGGATA